CCTGAAGCAGAAATCCAGATGCTGGTAGACTGTGATGGTGAAAACAGGCATTACAATAAAAAAGAAAGGTGAATGAGCCATAGAACATTTGCAAAGCCTGTGTGGTATCTGTCCTTTACATTGATGAATGTGTGCAATTGTGAGCCTCACTGCATATATCATGTTCCCTGTTTTGCTTCTTTTACTTCTCTTCCGCTTCACTTCTCCGATTCCCATACAGTCAAGAGCTATGCATCGAAACACCATCAATATCATTGGATTCGAAGGTTATAAATGATGCCAAACTGAAGGATTCAGTCATTTTACCTTGAATGAATTGCTGTTTGTTACAAGTCAAGGTCTTCACATGATGATCTTGGAATCGACCGCTGTAAGGACTCCACCACAAGACAGGAAGGACATTAGCCCCTCCTCAATGTGTAGAAAGAATATATTAACAGCCCAGCAGCAGCAGGTTCCCTGCACTGTTTTGTAATCTTGTAACATTAACATAGTAACACTTTGATAAGTAACAAAGCATAACATCACATTGCTGAAATATGGCTTGTTTTTGTAGTCTAGTAGGCCAAATCTCGTCATCAGGCTGTTTTAAAACAAAACATCAACATTATATTGTGGTGTCACCAGGAGAAAGATTAACAAAACTATAATAATAAATAATTAAATTTTGGGAGATATTCCTGGTCCCTTAAAATATGACAGATTGGCCCAACCCAGGTTACTAGTAGATACAGTTTATACACAAGTATATACAGTGAGAGTGAGGGGGACTGGTGATTGTGTGAAGATCGCATTTTGGTGAACTGAGTCGTTGTAGTGTCGCAATTTTAGAGTGTCTTGTTCAGTGTTGAGACAGACAATGAGCTCTAACTGATACACATTTAAAGCACTGTTGTGGGCCCATGAAAACTATTTTCCTTAGTAAATGTATTTGCCATCCCTAAGCATAGTTTAACTCCCTGGAAAACTCTGAAAATTAGATTTGAGATGTAGACATTGTTTAATAGTTTTGTATGTAATTCATGTCATGTTAATGAGAATTGTTGTGGTTTAAGAATCTAATAAATATTTTTTGTTAAACCTAGCAAT